TCTGCCAGGGGCTCAGGCGAAACCCTGGGAGCTTCCTCACACCTTACTTTCCAGGCCAGCCCACCAGCACCCTCAGCAAGCCAACCTACCAGTCGGAGCGTCTGTCCCCTGGTGGTTAGTGTGGGTCATAGCCACTGGTTGAGCAGTAGAACTCCCAGGGGAACTCCCAGTCCAGGGGACAGTTTGCATATTAGGCTTTTATTATATAGGACTAGAGGCCCGGTGCATGAAAATTTGTTCACTCAGAGGGCTTCCTCAGCCAGACCTGAACCCTCTCACAGTCCAGGAGCCCTCAGGTGATGTCTGACTAAGGCCTTAGGCCCGCTCCAGGGAGTGGGCCTAAGCCACAGTTTGGCCTCCCTCTATGGGAGGTGACCGGGTGGGCCAATCAGGGGGTGGCACCAGCCAGGGAGCAGCTGGCAGTGCCCCCGATTGTCCCTCTGTCACCACTGGTCGCTGCCGCCCCTTGATCACTGTCTCCTCTCTTTGCTCCACTGGCATGAGCCTTGGCCGGCCCCACCCCCCACTGACCAGTCATTCTGCTGTTCAGTCAATTTGCATATTATGCTTTTATTATATAGGATGGTTGTTTTCACCCTATCATAGCAGAGCTGTGTTATTGCAGTTGAAACCATAAAGTTCAGAAAGTCTAAAATATTTACTACCTAACCCTTTAAAGAAGAAAAGTATGCAAGCCCCTGGTATGAATATACAACTATTTACATATTTTCTTATATGCTGATGTTTCTTTATTTTTTAATAATGTTCCATTTATTGGATTTACTTTATTTCTATTTACTGGATCTTTCTTTTTAATTTAATTTACCTTTATTGTTATAATATTACAGATGTCCCCTTTCCCCATTGACCCCTTCCACTGGACCCTCCCTCCCAGGCTTTCACCACACTATTGTCTGTATCCCAGATATGAGTTCTTTGGGTTATATCTCCCCCACAATCCCCTCCCAACTTTTCACTTCATAATAGATATTTAATATATTATAAGATCAAGAGAAACAATTTACAGTGTAATAAAAATATTTCATATTTATGTTTTCCTATAAATTTGATAATGAATACATAGTTTGTCCCTAAACCATGTTGCTTATTCATGATTCACCACAGTGTACTAGTGACTTATACTAGTAAATGTATTGGCTCCATAACTAGAATAATTTCACATTCAGTTAAAATATGCCACACTACTAGTGAAATAAGAGGCTTCAAATAGATAATTAATTTCAATATTGGTTTGATTATTCCATCCAATTCATTGGGAAAAAAATAAAGCTTTACAAAAGTGTATTCTGTTGAAGGCAAGATATCTGACAGTATTAGAAATGCTATTGAAAATTTAGTAAGAATGTTTAAAGATGAAGTTATTGTTGTTTTAAAATTATATATTTTATTTAGTATATCCTAATATATATTGTTCTAATTATGCTGAGAAAAGGATGGGGAAATGTACTTGTAATTTATTGTCATACACACATAATTCATATTGTAAATCCAAAATAGTTGGGATATTCAGACAATTGGATTAGAATCTCTAGCTGAAAATTTCACAAATAACTTTAAATATTTACAAGACAGCACACTAATTTTTTTGTGACAAACTGATATTGAAAAAAAAGTTGCATATCAGAATGTGTTTTCTCTCACTGTTGTCCACATTTAGATTTTAGTGATGTTTAAATTTCTGAGGAATGACTGAAAATAAACCAAAGTATTTTAGGGATGTTTTGACATGTTAGTGGAAGAAGCCTTTTAAATGTTGGTTATATCTTGTTTAAAATCAGTTATGAGCATTTAATTAAAAAATAACATTAAAAACAAAAATCAGTTTTTGAAAGTGTTAGTGAGTTGTACTTATTTTTTTTAAAAAGCATTAAAGTTTATCCCTGCACAATGCAATGAAGACACTTAACAAATTTGATAAGTTCAAAAGTGTACAACATTATAAACACTATAACTGTGCTTTGCAATAGCTGGGCATGTGGGAAACACTATTTGAAGGGAGCACCTATATTTCATGGATAGATTGATGTGCTAGAACAAAATGGAATTAAATAGAAAAGGTCTATAACTCCGCAGCACCTAAGTTTGGCCAACACTCAAAGGGATTATATATTTAGAGATCATTTGTTTTGTGAGGATTATTTTTGAAAATGTGTGTCAAATAATTCTGAATAGAATAAAAATATGGATCTGATGTAAATATTTGATCTATGTATTTTATACAAAAAATAGAATTGAGGATACTTTCCATTTAGCAGATTTTCCCAAGAGATGAACAGAAACCTCAATATGTGTACAGTGACACTTTTTTCAATTAATAATGGCATAATTAGAAAAAAAGTTGAAAGCAATAAATTTAAAGCTATCAATAATAAATGCAACTTTGAACAAGGTATAGATGATTTTATGAAAAATTAAGATAATAAAACCATATGAAAAACATATTTAATCTTCAGAAAAAAATAGTATTAGAGATAAATATGACTAAACATAGTTTCTGCTGAAATTATTTTGTAATATTCAGATGATCAAAATAAAATATGTTCAAAATTTTCCCTTTGATTTACAGATATCAAGTTGCAATCATTTGCTTTGGAAATAATTTTATTTAAAATAATTTTGTATAAACTATTTTCTATGTCTGCTTATTTAATGAAATGAAATTGCCAATCAATAAATAACTGTTTCAAATATTATGTAATTATAACCGAGAACAGTTAGTAAGCCAAGACAAGTAGAACAGGGAAACTGAGACAGACAGCTGAACAAACTGGAAGAACAATTTACAGCAGGTATAGAATGTCGCCAGGCGGAAAGCCCCAGGTGCCTAAAAAGGGGCAAAGCTAGGGAAACAAGGGCCTCGCCCCCAGGGTGACCTTCCCACCCCTAGCATATTGCTGCTCATGTGGTTTAGACCCCCTGACCTTTCCTCCCTAGAGATAACATCTAGGCCTCAATTGTATGTCAGCCCCAGTCCCAGACAAGCAATGCCATTGCTGACCTCAGAACCAGCTGCCTTGACTAAGGACCACCTGCCCTCAAGCCCACCAATCAGGGGAGACCACGACCCTAAAAGAGCACACCGGCAAAGCCTATGAATAGTCTATTGAGTCCTTCCAGGAGACCTCCCCTAAGATTCCGGCCTGGAAGAGAGAAATAAATAGCCTCAACACAAAAGATGCAGTATATGCCCTCTCTCAGGAGCACACCTGCACCATTCCCTTTCCCTGTTATTCTAAGGAACCTCAGAAGACTTGCCTCAATGGAGCGGTGGGCAGTGACAGTGTGTCCTATGCTAAACCCCTGCACCTGTCTCCAAGGTCCCCTTTTTCTCTGACTCCTCAGGAAGCTAAAGCAGCCCAGCCTAGGCTCGCCTGTTGCTCCTTCCATGCTAAGCTCTTCCTTGGTTCACTGTCCTGCGTGTTCTTTTACTGCAGCCAATAAGTCATTGCTTCCTTTGCTGGATTTTGTTTTGACTGAAATCTTTCCTTCATAGAGACAAGAACCAAGGTCTCATCCTCTCAGCAATAACATAACTGCTTTTAGCTACCTCTTTTGCTCAAAAATGCTATTATTTGAAGGCAATTACATGGTTGCTATATGTATGTAGCATATGGTAAGAGACTGTAAAACATCTTTCATCTCATAACATACCTCAAGGAAACAAAAGACTTGAAGGAAAAAAGACTGGAAAAGATTTATTTGAAGATAATTGGAATTCCTTTTTTTTAAGGTTTCATCTTTTTTAAATTCTGTATCAATTGACATTCAGTATCATTTTATAGTAGTGTTAGGTGTACAGCATACTAGTTAGAAAATTATATGTTACAAAATAATTTCCCCAATAATTCTAGTACTCACTTGGCTCCATACATAGTTACGATTATATTATTTACTATATTGCCTGTACTGTTCTTTACATCCCCATGATTATTCTGTTACTGCCAAATTGTACTTCTAAAATCCCTTAAATTTTTTTAATCAGCTCCCTAGCCCCCTCTGATCTGGCAACCCTCAGTTTTTTCACTGTATTCATGAGTCTATTTCAACTTAGTTTGCTTATTTTGTTTTAGATCCCACATATAAGAAAGTTTGGATTCTCAAAAGCTACACACAAAATTCTAAATCCTATTGCTTTCTTGCCTTTGCTGTTATATCAAGTTTGTCAAATCCCACTTACATAAACTATCATGGTCTTACTATATCATATACCATAACCTTGCATACAGTATTTTTCAATGTAGTTAATCATCTCATAATACGCTTCACAGAAGAATGTGCCTAGAATATTTCAGGGCATGGCAAGTGGACAAATGTTACTACAAAACAGTTATACACAATTTGACAAAATACCCCAATTCTATTTTAATTCTTAATTTAATTTTAAGCAGTTTTTTCCATGATCAATGATGCCTTTCAAATTCCTTGTAAACTCTGACATCCCTGCCTCAGAAGTCTCCTTCCATCATTCACCTCCAAACAACTTCCAACACAATGAAATATAAATGTGTGCCAAAATATTCCCACATATAAAAACAAAATTAGCCGAACCAGTTTGGCTCAGTGGATAGAGCGTCGGCCTGCGGACTCAAGGGTCCCAGGTTCGATTCCAGTCAAGGGCATGTACCTTGGTTGCGGGCACATCCCCACTGGGGGGCGTGCAGGAGGCAGCTGATCGATGTTTCTCTCTCATCAATGTTTCTAACTCTCTATCCCTCTCCCTTCTTCTCTGTAAAAATCAATAAAATATATTAAAAAATTAACAGTAGAATGTTTGTAGGTCATGTCCTTTCGATTTTAGTGAGTGTAATGAGCTAAACTGCTTTACTCCCTCCATTTGTTGAAATCCTAATTCCAAGACTGCATAATTTGACAATATTGAAGGTAGAATTTTTGTATTTTTGTAAGTAGCAGTTTATGAATTCACTTTATTTTCATATTTTAATAGAATTATGTTATTTATAAAGTCATCTTACCTCAAAATGGTGGGGGACAGAGACATTCATATCCTTGCTCATTCCATTTTTCTCTTTTATTAATGCAACTGCCATTATTTTTACAGGGTTTATAAGAACATGCATCAACTTCCTGGCAGTATTTTCCAGAAAATGGAGTCTCACAATGACAGTTGTATGTCTTGCTCCAAATTTCAGTAAGACATTTACCATGCCCAGAGCAATATTCTGAATTCAGATATTCCTGGCAGAACTGCTCTTTCACTGTCACATTTAGTCGAAGTCCCAGTTGACAAAGCGATGGACCACTTGCCATTACTGTAATAAAATAATGTGTCCCAACAGTCAGCCATTGAGAGTTAACAGTGTGCATTCCTTTTAGTTTGCAACCGAAAAGTAACTGCTCTTCAGCTGTGGTATTCTGCAGATAGTCAATGAAGGATGCTTCAGAAACATTCATCAAATTTAGTTCTGGAGAGTGGAGAGATGGTTCAGAAGAAATTACAAGGTTGTCTCCTAATTGAATTTTCAAAGGGCAAATCTGGGGGACAGCTAGATTGCCTGAAGTACTCATTTTAGTATTTATGTCCTCAAACCAGCAATCTCCATAGGCGTCCATGCAAATGTTTCCTGTTACTGTCCAATTCACCACATATGATGAGGGTTGTGCATGCCATTCTTCCACCAATTGCCATTTACATGTTGTTTTTCCATTTATAAACATGCAGTGAAGAGCCAGCAGGCTCAGAAGCATAATTGATTTGTTAGTCATTACAGGAAATTGTATTTTACAGTCTATCATGAAAATGTCATAAATGATTGCTCGACATGGGCTTTCAATGTTGCTGGACATTTCTAAGCAGAGATTTTGTTCAGGGATTCCTGGGAACTGGCTCTGGTTTTCTTTACTATTCCCAAAGTGCAAGTGAACTCAAGAATTGGATATTGATTAAGAAACAGGAGGCTCTGCTGTTTCAAATAACCCTTCAAACAGAAAAGCATACATTGTTATTGAGTATTTTCCTAAATTACTTAATGATGCAAAAATTTCTTGCTGTTTTCGGAAAAACTGTGTCACTAGCAGATAGACATCTTCTCTGTGAAACAGGCCAGGAAAAATTGTGGTTGTTATGTTGTATCTCATCCTTCCCTATATAATCATCTGATTCTGAAAAGGTTTGGTATCACTGTGTAATCGAACCAGCAACTTACTATAGTCTTTTATATCAAGCTTGAACATAACTGGAACACAGCAATAGTCAACATCTTTAATGGAGAGATGTGATTTTCTTCAGATATAAGTATCCCTCTCTGATTAGTTTTAGGAAAAAAAAACACTTTAAAAGACATAAAATAAGAATTAAATGATTTAAATATAACATAATATTAATGTAATATTTTTATACAAATATAAGCCCTAAGATACCTGTTGGTGACAAATCATGTTCTTCTAATGGTAATCCAGGAGGTGGAAGCTCTCACATACAAAACAAGCACATAGAATATTCTGTTGTACAAATGAGTAAACTTAGAATGAGTTTTTATATTTTTTTTTCTTTATTAAGGTATTACATATATGTCCTTATCCCCCCATTACCCCCCCCTCAAGCCCTCCACTCATGCCCTCACCCTCCTGATGTCTGTGTCCATTGGTTAGGCTTATATGCATGCATACAAGTCCTTTGCTTGATCTCTCCCCCTTACCCCTACCCTTCTGCAGGAATGATGGGAGCATGGCAGAAAGTGTAAAATGGTGTGATGGAAGGACGATAAATAGAGGCAGTGTGGCAGTAATGTTCTCTTTCATCACTCACCACATGTGTGAAAGGAGGGGTCAGGGGATCAGTTCTGTGGGAAGACATCACTACTCCCAGGAAGAAGGCAATTAGATTTAATATACTGACCCAATTAAAATATAGTAACTACCACATACTGAGGTTTTTCACAGTGCAAATCACTACTCTATTTGATTAACAAATAAACTATAAACCTTACAACAAAACTCAAATTCGAGAAGAAAGCAAATGGTATGACAGAAACATATGCTCTTTGGATCTCAGTTATATTATTTATTCATTCTATGTTTATAGGCCACATGAGCTTTAATTTGCTCCGCTCTTCCACAGGTAAGAATATATTAATATATTAATTTAAAGAAATTAATATAGAAGTATTGAATTGACAAGGTAGTAGTGAAGATTGAATTAGACTGTTTAAATGTATATGTTATTCAATAAATGGTAGCTTTTATTATCCAATTTCACTAAGCAATTAAAATCCAGGTTTATCATACTTAAAATCACAGCATTTCTAATATATCTTGACTATCAATTAAATATTGTTAAAATAAAATATTTTATGCCATTATAATATGTAATTAATTTGTTAATATCAAATATTTATGGAAAGTCTAGTATCTTAATGGCTATTTTAGATCATATAGAAATTAAATTTATTATAAATTACCTCTTTGCAAATTTGGTCATGGATGTTATAAATCTATAAAATATTAATTCACATAAGTAATATATTACCTTAGTATGCACACAGAAAAAGTTAAATTATAAGTTTCTTAGAACCAAAAGTTTTGCGTGATCATGTTCATTTGAAATATATTAATCATAAATTCTTGATTTAAATTAATAACCTTGCTAAGATATAAAGAATACTTTAAACAAATCTATTTTATTTTAATCGATGTGCATGGCAACATGCTAGGTACTAGGAATTCATCAATGACTGAGTGGAAGTAGGTATCAGTATAAAGAACTGAAAACTCAATGAAGGAAACAGATTATTAGGCAAGTAGCATCACCAATTTATTATAAAAAAAGATAGTCTAGAGAACTATAAAAACATATAGCAGAGCCATTTAACAGGGAATAAGGATGAGCTTGGACAATGAAATGGATTCATCTGGGAAAGTTTCCAAGGAGGGGAATTCCAGAAGAAAATGTCTAGCTAAAGACTTTGAGATGAGTGTGACAACGGACTTTTTGAAGAAGATAAGTTGTGCAGAGACAACAAAAAAATTATGGTAAAATATAAGCTCTTGATTTACATAGATAGTATATCCAGAGGGGCAGGCATTGTTAGTAAAGGAGCTTGCATTTTATTTGAGGACATTGGAGAACTTATTGAAGATTTTATGTGGGAGATTAACAAGAACAAATTTTATTTTAATGACGTCAGTTTATTTGAAGTGTGAGGAATGCACGTACTTGTAGGTACAACTGAGAGAGTGGAGAAGGTAGAGAAGGCAGTAACACTAATCTCGTGAAACAATAGTGATAGCCTGATGAAAAAGGTGCCAGTAGAAATATAATAACATTGATAGAGTTGAGAAATATTTAAACAGTAGAATTGCAAGGTCTTAAAGGCTGTTGACCTAAGTAGAGAGAAAGAAACTCAGGAGGATTAGGTCCATAATCAAGATGGTAAGGGAAAGGGGATGTCAGAATCACATATGTACATATTGAATTTGAAGTCCATCTAAACACTTTTGTTGTAGAAGTATTCAGACATCAATGGTATGTAAAGATATGAGCATAGAGGAGATGCTGGGCTGGAAATCTAAACATGATCATACTAATCATATATTTTTATATTTCAATACATATGTACAATTTTGGAAGATTGTTTTAAAATGTGAAAGACTTGATCTTATTTAAACATGAGGAAAGAAAAAACATGGAAGACAAAGCAGTATGGAAGAAAATAAGTGTCAATGTATATAGTGCAGAGTAGGAGAAAAGAAAGTAAGATTATTGTAGACTATTAAGGTTGTGACTTTGGTGGCAGGAAGTTGAGGAATTTACCTTGTGGGATTATCTATTTTCTCTATGAAATAAGAGATGATTAGTGGAGATGGTGAGTTTGGAGGAAAGGATTGGGAAAGATTTGAAATAAACAGTGAGAAAAATATGAGAGAATGTTAAGACAAAAGAGAAGGATCAATAAGCAATACTGAAATACGTTTGTGGCTGTTAGAAACACATTTAGAGTAGTATCAGCCTGCACAGGTGCATTATTTTCCCAGTAGCCCAGTTGAAAGGTATATAATAAAAATAAGTAATAAATGGGCTTAAACAAATGGAGTTACCAATTTATTTCCACATAGAAATGCTAAGAAAATAATGCCATTTGCATTGAAGAATAATTAAGTCTGTGTGACATTTTTAGACTAGCTACAGATGTGAGCTCGCAATATTGCGTGGCTACTTCCATGCTTCTCAGAATTCTCTGGGTCCCTAATTATTGTGCATTCATATTTTCAAAGAGAAAGTGACTTGATGTATTATGTTTCTATCTCAAGAAAATTTAAATAAATAGAAATAGAAGCAAAACATAAAAACCCAGAAAACTTGTATGAGGTCAATTTGCTTCCATATATGCTGAATACAAAATGCATTGAATTTTATTAGAACAAGATTGATATAAGCATCATTTGATGCCTTTGAATAAGGAGCTGTAATTTGGACTCAAAAGATAAATATAATGATATGTAACTCAGTTCTTCTTCATTTATAATGACACTAGAGGCCGGGTGCACAGATTCGTTCACTGGTGGGGGCATGGCCAGCGAGGATCGGCCTGCTGTGGGAGCGACACTCTCCTGCATTGAGAGTCTGCCCCTTGGTGGTCAGTGCACATCATAGCGACTGGTCAACTGGTTGTTCTGGTGGTTCTGCCATTCGGTCGCTGGGCTTTTATATACATAGATGGTTCTACATCCCACAGAGTTTAAGTTGTATTTTCATTTCCATTTAGCTCAAAATATTTTTTAAATTTTCCTTGAGACTTCTTCATTGACCAACATGCTATTTAATAGTGAATTTCCCTGGCTGATGTGGCTCAGTTGGATGAGTACCTTTCCATGCACCAAGAGGTTGCAGGTTCAACCCCCTGTTGAAACACATGTCCAGGTTGAGGGCTCGATCCCCAGTAGGGTGCATGCAGGAGGCAACCAATGGATGTTTCTCTTTTCCTCTCCCTTCCTCTCTCTCTAAAAATCAATTAATACATATTTTAAAATAGTTAATTGTTAGATTTCCATCATAAGACAGAAAATAAGGCTTTCACTTAATAGATGTAAAAAATACAATGTAGAATGACTATCTTATCAAACTTTCATCAAATGTATCCCATCACATATGCGGTACCTAAACATAGAAACTCTGGAGTAAAAAAAAAAAAAAAAGCCTGGTTATAATTTTTGGTTACCTTTCTACCTCCCCTACATTAGAGAAATTAGCACAGTTTCCTCATCTGTAAATCAAAGTAATGATTGTTTTTATCTCATAGATTGTGAGAATTAAATGAAATAAACCATAAAGCTATTTTGATAGCTCAGTCCTTTCAAATAGAAAGTTAGTAAATTTTTTTAAATACTATATGTATATGTGGAGAAGTCCAATAACTAGATTTCTTTAAAAATACTTCTATGATATTTCTTAGACTAATTTATACATTCAAACATATATGAAAGATCACATAAAATGCCCATATTAAGGAAAGCTAACAATTTGTATGTTTTTAAAATGACACATTTAAATTACTAAACTTACAGTATCCACTTCTTCCAATCTTCTTTCAGAGTATGCTATAAGACTGCATGTCTGTGTCCTCCAAAAACTCATAAATTGAACTCTTAATCCCCTATGTGAAGGTATTTAGAAATGAGGCCTTTGGGAGATAAACAGGTTTACATGAAGTCATGAGGATAGAGCCTTCATGATGGGATCAGTTCCTTTATAAGAAGAGGAAGCGACC